TGAGACAGCCAGGAAGGAAGGGAATCTGTGTGCAGTGACCTGCCAGCATCGGCAGTGCCTGTGACGTGGACTTGCTCTGTAGCATTTCCTCCAGAGAACTTAGGACAGCTGGCAGCCACCAAGGGGCTGCCCCAGTGGAAACCCGCCCCCTCACTCCTCTCTCCCCCACCACTTCCCCACCCCTGGGCACCTCAGCCAGATTTGGAAGAATATCCCAGGCTTGTGTCAGCATCCCACATGGACACTGGTTTGAGTTCCAGCTGCTGCTCCACTTCCCATCCAGCTCCCTGCGAATGGCCTGGCAAGGCAGCAGAGGACCCCTGCACATGCTGGGAGATCCCGAGGAAGCTCTTGGCTCCTTGGTTCTGGCTTCAGACCAGCTCAGCTGCAACTATTGTGGCTGTCCAGGGGTCCAAGCATGCAGGCGTCCTGCACTGCTTTCCCAGGCGCATGAGCAGAGAGAGTTGGATGGGAAGTGGACCCACATGGATGACAACGTGGCAGGCAGTGGCACATGCCCACTGTGCCCATGTTCCTTGCTGATTGGCAGGGACAGTAGCAGGAGCAGGTGTCGCTCCTGCTCTGGCAGAAGGCTGTGCACGGGGCCCAGCATGGCGGCCTAGTGGCAAAAATCCTTATCTTTCATGCGTCAGGATCCAATAAGGCACTGGTTTGTATCTCGGTTGCTCCGCTTCCCATCCAGCTCCCTGCCTGTGGCCTGGGAAAGCAGTGGAGGACGGCCCAAAGCCTTGGGACCCTGCACCTGCATGGGAGACTGTTGCTGTCCCGCAGCGAAGGACTTGGTGCACGGAGCCGATAATAACACGCGTGGACCCTGACTGAGGGTCAAAGCCGAAGTTTATTAGAGGCATCAGACTTTATACACTGAGAGTCCATACTGTTTCCCTCTCTTGATTGGAATTCCTTTTGTTTGGTATATCCCACCAGGTGTTCTCATTTACGTGCTATTTATGCCAAAGGTAGCCCTTAGGTTGTTGTCATGCAAATACTGTCCAATGAACTGCAAACCTGTGCTCGCTGGCCTTCCAGGCTCACAATGTCCTCCTACTGGAGACCTGGATGAGGCTCCTGGCTTCAGATCGGTTCAGTTCCAGCCATTGTGGCCACTTGAGGAGTAAATCATTGGACGGAAGATGTCTCTGTCTCTCCTCCTCCCTGTATATCTGCCTTTCAAATAAAATAAATCTGTCCTTAAAGAAGGCTTGCATGGCTGCTCCCATGTCTAACTTGAGGGTTCAGAGGGATTGGCCAAGTTTTCTGGTTCTAGAGGTGGTCTGTGTCCTGCCCACTCACACCTGGAGGTGTGGCTGTGGGTGGGCGGCCAGATCCCAGGCCAGGAAGGGTAGATGGGGCCGATGCTGGCCAAGGCTGATGTTGGCCGAGCCCAGAGCCCGCCCAAGCTCTGCTCTCCTCCATCCTGAGCCTGGACTGGGCTCGGGGCTCTCCCTGGAGCAGGGGCCAGGGCCCACTGCCCACCCTATGGCCCTGAGACGGCCAGCCTCATTGCCTCCCTGGGTCCAGCTTGAGTCCATCACATCTGTCAGGCCCTGAGCCTGGAGACATGGTGCTCTTGGGGCCCCCAAGGCCCTTCCTTCATGTCTCCTCAGGAACCCAGCCTCCTTGTGGGCAAGTCCCTGCCCAGCCTTGCCACACACGCCCCAGCCTCAGCATTGCCGTCTGTGTTAGTGGCTCTTGTTCCTGGGGTAGGGCGGCCAATGGGCAGGCAGGGGGGCAGCTGGAGTCTGGACTGGGTTCCCTGTACCCTGCCTGCCCCACGGTGTGGGGGCGATGGGGAGGTGCCTTCCCTCCCACCCACCCCTGAGCCAGGGCTGCCCGGAATGTGGCAGGACAGGCCTGGGCCCCGGGGGTTGGGGGCAGGAGCTGTGGGCACCCGGCCAAGGACAAGGGCTGGCCCCTGCAGGTGGCCCCAGGGACTGGGGACAGGAGTGGGTTTGAGCTGTGTTGATGATGCGCATACATGCATTTACCCTGGCTGCCCCCTGCCTCCCAGTCCTCCTGGCGCCTGACACGAGACTCCTCCCCTCCCCACCCCGGGGAGTCACCCTGTCTCCCAGCATGCCCTGGAGCCCCCTCTCCTGCCCAGCGTCCCAGCCCTGGCCCCTGGGGGCCTCCCTGCCTGACCTCGGCCTGTCCTCCTCTCTGGGGTCTCTGGCCTTGAGGGGATCTGCAGCCAGCTGGCTGACCAAGGCAGAGTAAGACCCAGGCCAGGAGCTTAGGGCCAGCGCTGGACCTGCAGTGGGCGTCTGGACGACCCCGTCTCAACTTGGCCAGGCCTGGGAGCTGGGGGTGGGGGGTTGAGTGAAAGATACCCGCTTTGGGGTCAGGTGGCAAGGTCAGCTAGAGGGAGGCCCCCAAAGCCCCTGGCCACCACCCACCCAACCTTCCTGCATCCTTGGGGGGTCTGTCCTCTGGCTGTGTCTGTTTTCTGGAAGCTTCCTTGGCCCTCCTCTGGGTTTTCCCACTAGCCCAAGGTCCAGGTGCCAGGCCAGGGCACTTGGGAGTGGCGGGGGAACAAAGGCTGAAGGCAGGTGGGCGGGTGGGGCGGCCTGAGGATGACTCAGCCCCGGGGAGGCCTCCAGGAGCACAATGGGGGCTTGTGGCCAGTGCCCCAGGGTGTGCCCGCCTTAGCCTAGGTCTCCTGGCCCTCCGTGGGGCCCTGGGTGGCTCTGGGCCTCCAGCGTTGACCTGAGGGCCACCCCAGGACAGCTGGCCTCTATCTGGGGCGCAGGGGGGAAGGGTTCGCCGCAAGGTGGACAGGGGCTGAGTGGGCAGGGCTGGGACTACCCTCGGGGGCGGCGGGAGGCCCAGGGGCGTTGAAGGGGGACAGGCACCAGAGGTCCAAGGTCTCTGTGGGATGGGATGGCATGAGGAGTTTAATCCTCATCCCAAGACCGTAACTCATGCACACCTTGCAGCAGGAGGGGGGTCCCTGCTCCCAAGGGGCGCACGTGGGCACGTGTGTATCTGTGACTCTGTGTGTGCACACAGCTCACACGTGTCCACGCGTGTGTCCGTGGCCTGGGCTCCTGGTGGTCACTCAGCCCCCCTCCGATGCGTAGCCGGGGTGCGAGCAGGGTGTGCGCCGGTGGAGGCGGCCCCGAGAACCCCTTGCGTCATGTGCATTCGGTACTATTTGCTTTCAAGCTTTATTTGCACTGGATCTGAAAGACAGATTCTCCATTCGCGGGAAGCAAGCGCCACCGGGGTCTCTCACGCGCACACACGCAAGGTGCCTCAGCCAGGACCCGAACCTGCGTCCCTGCTTCTGTTACTGCTCCGGGGAACCCCGAAAACGCCGGAGACCCCGCGTTGCATTTTCTATGCTTGCATTTCACAGGCCGTTAGACTGAGATTCGAGCAGGCCGAGCCCACGCGGGCCTCAGCGTCCCCGTCCGGGCAATGGGTTTGATAAACGCCCGCTCGCAGCCCTGGGCGCTGAGGGAGAGAGCCGGGAACGCAGAACCAACCTCGCGGCACAAACCTCGCGGGCGGCCACCGAAACCTAACAATCGAACTGCAAAACCCCACCCCCTCGCGTCTCGCGGCCTCTCGCTCCTCGCAGAGTCCCGCCTCTGCCTGGGAGGAGGCGGGACCTTGCCGCCGATTGGCCCGCCGCCTTGCCAGTCCTAGCTTTCCACTTTCCCATTGGTCACCGCCACGCCGCCTTATCTTTCAATCTCCAGGGCGTCAAAGGGAACGGGATGTTGTGTCACCGCGTGCACATCCGCGAAGGACAGATAGTCCGTCAGCCCTCCTCGCGGCGCCGCGGACTCGGGGTCCCCGCCAAGCCTTTTTTATTTTGTGGGGGGGTTGCTGGGGTGGGGGTCCGTCCTGTGCGCGGGCGGGAAGGTCGCGGGGCGGCGTGGGGAAGGGGCGCGCGGAGCGGCGGGAATGGGGGGTGCGCGCGGCGGAGGGATCTGCGACGCGGCCCGCGGGCGTGTCGGGGCGTGGCCGCGGCGCCGCGGAGGGGGCGTGGCCTGCGCGCGTGGGGCGTGGCCTGGGCGCGCGGGGCGGGGGGGGGGCGGAACATGTCTCCCGCCGCAGGAAGATGAGGCAGCGGCGGCGGCCGCGGGCGTAGCGGGCCTCGGGCGAGCCGGAGCCGACGCGGCGGGGAACGGGCTGGGCGGGCGCTGGGCGCACACGCCGCCGCCGCCGCCCCGGCCCTTCCCGGGCCTCCCGGGCCGCGCGCTCCAGCGGCAGGGCGGCCGTGCCTCCCCGCGCGCGCACGGGCCACCCTCGTGCCGGTGGCGCCGCCGCTGAGGCGGGGGGCCTCCCCGTGAGAGGCGCCCCTTTGTCCGGGGGGTGGCTGACTGGCGGGGTCCGCGGGGGAGGCCCCGCGTTCATGCCGCCGCCAGCCCGGCCGCGCCCCGCAGGTAAAGGCGCGCGCGCCCGGGAGCGCAGGGAGCGGGGTGCCGGTGCGGTGTGTGTGTGTGTGTGTGTGTGTGGAGGGGGGGCGAGCTTCACTTTCGGGGTGCGCTCTCGGGACTTGGGGTGCGTGTGCGCGTGTGTGTGTGTGTGCGTGCGTGTGTGGGGTGAGGAGGACGGAGAACCCGGGTCATTGTTCTCTTTAACTTTCCGCGTGGAGCGGGGCGGCGACGTGGAGAGGTGGAGGGGGGGGCGCCCCGGCACTTGGAGAAAAGTTTTGTGGCGCCCCAGGCTGAGTGAGGCCTGGCTGCGGGTGCGCCCGACCGAGGCCCCCCCTGCGCACCCCAACAAGCCCGGCTGGGACCCGGGGCGGCCTGGGGGGAGCCAGCCTCGGCCGCCCCCTCCCTCGTTGCTCAAAAGGAGCTGGAGTTTGGAGAAGGGGGGCCCCTCCGAGCCGCCCGACGGGGACGGGGTGGCGGCGTCCTTTTGTTTGTGGGGGAAGGAGTTGGGCGCGAGGCCGCCCGCCCGGTGCAGGGGAACCAGAGTCGGGGGTCGGGGGGCTGGGGTTTTTGGGGGGTGGGGTGTGTGTAAGGGGGGGAGCCGGAACATCTGCTGCGCGTTAATGCGCGGTGGCGGCCGAGCTCCCTGGCTTCAAAGAGCTCTGGGCCGCGCCGCCTGCACCGGCTGGGGGTGGCGCCCCCCGACCCTCTCCGCTAGGAGGGGGCGTCTCGGCACCTCCCTCCCCCCACCTTGCCGGTCCCCAGCCTCCCCCGCTGCTCGGTGGGCCCTGGGGAGTCGGTTTCGGCCGCCACACACACATACACATGCATGCACACACACACACACACACACACACACAAGTGCGGTTTCGGGCGACTCCGAAAGCTGGCGGTTTGGCGCGCGCCCCCCTCCTACTCGGGAGCCTGGGCGCGCAGGGGGGCGCGCCGGGGCTGCAGTTTGGCAAACAAAGACGGGGTGCTGGGTGGAGAGGGGGGAGAGGTGTTTTCTCGGGGGCCCTGAGCGTAGGGGTCTCCCTGACTCTGAGGGTCCCCCACAGCCGTCGCAGCTGGATGGAGGGGGGGGGCTTGGCGGCTTCCGGCCCCGGGTGGGCCAGCAGGTGGATCCCCCCTTGGATGGAACCCCAGGGACCAGGCGGGGAATCCCTGGGCTGAGGATGGCCCCCGCTGCGGGTGGGGGAAGGGGCCACTTGCTAAGTTGCTGTGGAAGTCCTGGCCCGGTACTTGGCCTGCTTTCTGAATAGGGGATGGTTCTTGAGGGGGAGGGGCGTGCAGCGCCTGGCCCCCTCCCCCACCAAGGCCTGCGGCTGGGAGGGGCCTCTTTCTGGCTCCTGCTCTCCTCTTCGCTGGATTTTGGGGTGAACCGTGCCTTAAAGGCACTTTGACAGCTATTGGGAGTGGGGGGTCCCACCCCGTCCTGGGGGTAGAGCCTGGGAAGCCTGGAGGTGGGAGGGGGTTGAGATCCCCCAGTGGGCCTCTCAGAAGGGGTCTGTGGGGCTGCCCCTGGGGCCCTGTCTCAGTCCTGTCTTCTTTCCTTGTCTCCGTATGGCAACGGCTTTCCCTGCGTCCTCCCAGCTGGGAACCCCACAGGACCGCGCCCTGGCCCCTGAGCCTGCTGCAGCTGCTGGAGAATGAACCAACCACAGGGGATGGCGCCTGTGGGCTCGGACAAGGAACTAAGCGACCTGCTGGACTTCAGTGCGGTGAGTGGGCACCTCTGCTTGTCCTGGAGTTGGGGTACCCCCGGTGGGCAGGCTGACACCCCCCTGGCAGGAGGGATGGGACCCTGGAGCTGGGGTACCCCCGGTGGGCAGGCTGACACCCCCCTGGCAGAAAGGATGGGACCCTGGAGCTGGGGTACCCCCGGTGGGCAGGCTGACACCCCCCTGGCAGAAAGGATGGGACCCTGGAGCTGGGGTACCCCCGGTGGGCAGGCTGACACCCCCCTGGCAGGAGGGATGGGACCCTGGAGCTGGGGTACCCCCGGTGGTCCTGCTGACACCCCCCTGGCAGTGTGTTGTATTAATGTTGGGGTTTGTCTGTTGGAAAGGCAGAGCTGGATGGTTGGATGGGTCTTCTGTCTGCTGGTGTGCGCCACCAAATGGCCGTGGCAGCCAGGGCTGGGCCCGGGAAAGCCAGGGGTTCCATCTGGGTCGCCACCATGGGGGTGGGGACCCCAGCACTTGAGCCATCCTCTGCTGCTTTCCCAGGCCGCAAGCAGGATGGGAAGTGGAGCAGCCCGTATGCGAACCAGTACCCCTATGGGATGCAGGCTTTCCACGTCACCCTGTAATGCCTGCCCTGGCATGGGGTTTCCTTCCAACAACACGGTGGGTGCCGGAGGTCTAGGGCCTCCTGCTTCCCCGTGAATGTGGGGCTGGGCAAGCTGACACCAGCCTTGGCCTTGGGAGCTGTGCACTGGGCACCGTCGGTCAGTCGCTTGCTCTGTGACTGGTGCACGGAGTGTCTAGCACCCAGCTGGCCCTGCTGGCCCGGGCAGGGTTCCCTGCCTCTGTGGACCAGGCATCCCCTAGGAGCCCTGGCGGGCCCCCCACTGCCACCCCAGGACCAGGAGGACACTTTCAACAGCCCCAGGCCTGTCACAAACAAGGTCCCCAAACCGAAACGGGTCGGCAGCCCTCCGGAAGGCCGCGGCCGTGCGGGTATTTTAAGCCGCGTTTTATTTTTGCCTCCCCGGCTGAGTAGCCAGGGGTGCAGTTGGGTGGTTTTTGTTAAACTGACAGGTCATGGGCTACTGGGCCGGAACGAGCGGCTTTGGGGGCCCCGGGGGGGGGGGGGAGCATCTAGGTTCAGTCTTCGTGACCCCTTAGGCTTGAGCTTTCTGCCTGCCTCCCTCCAATGTCCCCCTGCCCTGCTTAGGGTTACAGCTGTGTTGGAGGGGGACCCAGAGACTGGGAGGGGCCCCTTGCCCCTGCTGCTGTGGCTCTGCCCCTTGTGGGAGGGCCTTTGTGGGCCTGGGCTCCCCTCCCCACCCCAGGATTGAGGGCCGGGCCCCTGGGTGTCACAGCTGCCCACGTGCGGGGGCCTGGGGCCCGTCCCCGAGAGGAGGGACGGAGCTTGTGGCCGATCACGAGGCCCCTACACCCGCAGGACACGGCCCAGCGCCCCGCCACCCCCAGGAGCCACGTCAGCTTGGCCCTCGGTGGCCTGCGGGGATCCGGCCTGCCTGGGGCCCCCTGGTCCAGCTCCCACCCCAAGTGGCGAGCAGGCATCTTCACGTTTGGCCTTTGGATGAGAGGGGTGGTCCATGAGATAACCCCTGCCACCTCCCTTAGAGGGGGGTCGTGGGGGTTGCGGGCTAGGGGCACAGCCCATCACAGCTGGCCTTGTCATTGTTGGGGTGAGGGTGCCCCAGCCGGCTTGCTGTTGCCCTCCGTCCTCCCCTGGGGCCGGGCAGGCTGTGACACTGCTGTCCCATGCATGGGCCTGGTTCTCAAGCTGAGTGTGTGCGTGTCCTAGGCAGGGAAAGGAGATGGTGCCAGCAGGCCTTGAGGGGGCTGCCACCGCCCCACAGAGCCATGGTGGGGCTGGGCAAGGGCCCACAGTGCTCCCGAGCTCCGTAGGCTCCATTCCTGCTGCCTGCCCCCCTCAGCATCCCACTCTCTTGCCCTCCCTACAGATGTTCCCGCTGCCCGTGGCTGGCGGCAAGGGCCGGGCCACCTCCCTGGCTGGCGCACAGTTTGCGGGTGCAGGTAGGCCATGGCTTGTGCGTGGCGCGCTGTATGCTGAGCTGGCTTGGGTGGGTGTGGAAGGCCAGGCACTGGGGTCTGGGGGTGTGGAGGCAGCGACCAGATGGTGTCCCTCCTGGCCTGGGCCCCTGGGTGCAGCTTATTTTGTGGAGCGTGGCTAAGGTCAGGGTGTGTGTGGGGGTCTCTGTGGAGCACGCGACCTCCTCAGACCTGAGGCCTCAGCGTGGTGGCTGTGCCAGGCTCATGTTTGGACCTAGGAATGGGTGAGGGCGGTGTTGGCGGACACAGCCCCACCCCCGGAGACCGCCCTGCTGTCCCATGCTGGCCTTCCCCTCGGCCTGAGGAAGTGGCCGTTCCCAGGGCATGGAAATCCCCATGGCCCCCCGGAAACAGGCCCGGGAACCGAGAGCTTGGTGCTTCCCGGCCTCATGGGGGGTCAGGCCCTGGGGCTTCCTGGAGGAGGTGGCATGCAGAACCCAGGCCACCGTGACCCTGTGGGGCAAGGAGAAGGCCACAGGAGGTAGTGTGCATGCCATAGTTGGGGGCCACTGGCCACACGTGAGCTCTGTGTCCCCTGGCAGGCATCGGTCTGTCATCTACATGGGCCTGCCTGTTGCTTTGTATGCGTGTGGCTGACAACTTCCAACCACTGGTTCAATCCTCACGTGTCTGTGACAGCCGGGGCTGGACCCGGGCCCAAGCCAGGAACTGGGAGCTCCATCCAGGTCTCCCCTTGTGGGTGCAGGGGCCCCAGCACTAGGGCCGTCCTCTGCTGTCTCCCAGGAACGTTAGCCGGTTGGGAAGTGGAGCAGCCGGGACTTGAACTGGCGCCCATATGTGGGTGCTGTTGCAGGTGGAAGCGGCACCGGATACAACTTAGACCTGCACGTATTCCAGGACCGTTCCGAGGTCTCCACATTCTGAGCTGGGTCCGCACAGTTACCCCACCACATTTCTTGGCATCTGTGGGCAAGAGTGGTTGTGGCAGCACTGACTGCCCCAAGTGGCATGGGGCTGCGGGTTCTGCCCTTCCCAGCCCTGTGCTCTGGTCCGCCCGTGTAGACCTGTGCTTTCAGCTGTGTGGATTGTGCCCCTGGGGCAGGGTGGGCTGCTCCAGGCTGTGTGTGTCCCCACTGGTGCCCCGGGTGCTGGGTGTAGACGCTGAGGCTGGGGCAGGGGGAGGATCCCATGTGAACTGCGGGCATTGTGTGCCCGCCCTGCCCCAATCCCAACCCGCCTGTGGGAACGCCCCTCATGCGCCTCAGGCAGAGCTGAGTCCAGGGCCCCTGGGCTCAGCTGCCCTTGCTCGCCCTTGCTTGTGATGCCTGTCAGGGCAGGCGGCTAGCCTCCCCCGGGATGTGGGCGGGGCAGCCTGTCACAGGAGGCCTCGGCCCTCAGGCTCTGGTCCCCCATCCTGGCCGTCCGTCTTCTGCAGTTCTTCACTGACGCGGGAGGCACAGAGAAGGGATCTTCCCTGTGGATGCAGGGACTCAAGCCTAGGGAGCCCTGCCTGCTGCCCTCCCAGGGCTGGGTCAGGAGTGGGGCTGGGAATTGAACCCAGGCCCTTGGACAAGGAGGGCCTGTTTAACAGCTGTGCCAAACACCAGCTCCTTATGTCGGAGCCAGTCCCCTCAGTGGCCACCCGACTCCCGGGCCCCAGTGGCTGGTGCTGGGCTGGTTTACGTCCGGGCCCAGCTCAGGTGGTGCCTAGGCAGGCTGTGCTGGAATGGGGAACTTTGTTGAGAGCTGAAGTCAGGCCACTGCTCGAGTCACTGTGTCCCCGCCGCTCAGGGCGCCCTGGCAGAGCAGGTCTTGTGGGGCAACCTGGCAGAGCATGTGGCAGCACCTACCCTGGGGCTCCCTGAATTCCAGCTCCTGCACCCGTGGGCCCCAGAGGCAGTGTGGGTGCTGGGAGTTCTCGGGTCCCTGCCACCCTCATGGCGTGTGGGGAGTGACCAGCGGATGTGCACCTCTGCCTGTCAGGAGGACAGGCAGGTGCTGAGGTTATGGTGTGGCTGCTAAGGCCTGGGAGAGCCACCTGAGCTTGTGGCGCTGCCACTGCCTGCTGGCTCAAACTGTCCAGGTCACTGGAGACCCCATGCCTTCTTACCTGGGGACAGCCATGTGTGGCTGCATGGGCACCTAATCCTGTGCCTGGTAAGTTGCAAAGGGCAGGCAAGGCAGCCCTGGGGAAGGGATCTGGACATGCCAGCATGGAACCAGGTTCACCTGCTTGTTGCGTGTGGTGGAGAGGTCAGGGGAGTAAACTTGTCTGTATCTGGTGTCCACAGAGCTGTGGGAGGAGGTGGAAGGGGAGCTGGGGGCCCTGGAGCGATTGGAGGAGGTGGAGGAACAGCCCCAGGAGCGGGTAGAGGGGGGACTGGGTCCATGAAGCTACGGGATGAGGAACTGGGTCAGTAGAGCCACAGGAGGTGGAGAATCAGCTGGGGGTCGTGGAGCCATGGCACGGGGTGCAGGGAGGAACTGGGGCCACAGAGCCACGGGAGAGGGTGGGGGAGCTGGGGCCACAGAGCCACGGGAGAGGGTGGAAGAAGCAAGCTGTTACCCAAAACAGCTGTAGCGTGGCTGTGACTGGAGCCTGTTGGCATGGGGTCTGTCCTGGTACAGGCTAGCCTGGCAGTGTCCCTGCTTACACTAGGTGCGTGAGTGTGGCTGTGTGCCAATAAAGCTTTATTTGCAAACAGGCAGTGAGTGACTGCAGTCTGATGGGGCTCAGGGCTCGGGGGAAGCCTTGGGGCATACCACACTCCTGTTAGACCCTAGTGGAGTGGCCTCGAGGAGGCGGCACCCCCAGTGCCCTCTGCAGCGCCCCGTGTTTATAAAGCTTGGCAGCTCATCCGTCAGCAGTGTCTCTCAGGGAACTTTCATTAGAGTTGGGCATCTGAGGATTCGGGAGTGGGTCAACATGCATAATTAACTGGGGTTTTAGTAACTGTTAGTAGTGCGGGGAGGGATACTTGTGAACCCGGGCCTACCTGGGGATGCCAGGGGAGGCCTGTGTGTCACCAGGTCGTGGGCAGGCAGGCTGAATTCACAGGGGGTAGGCGCGGAGGGAGCCTGGCAGGGACCTGGGGTGGGGGGTCCCTGCCTGTCCTAGAGGGTCCTGGCCACTCCCCAGGGCACCTGCAGCAGACATGGAACTCAGGAGGTATAGAGCCCAGTTCTTGGGGTGCAGACACCCCAAGCCCAGTGAGGGTGCTGGCCAGTTGCAGGAGTTCTCCCCTGCCCACCCCAGCCCCACACAGCAACCACACAAGAAAGTTTTGCTGCAGAAAAGCAAGATGGGGCATGGTGAATATTCATGAGGTTGGTAGGATTGATATGCACTTATGTACATTTGGTGCTAATTAAACACTAGTTTTCTGGGGGACATGGTTAACACAGAAGCAAAGAACTAGAAGGACCCAGCCAGACAGGGAGGGGCAGACTGGGGTCAGAGGTGGTCAGGGTCACCCCCCTGCCGTGGCTGGTGGCAGGTGGATGTGGTCACCCTTGGCCTACGTGGTAGGGTCTGAGTGGGAGTCCTTTCAGCAGGGGGAAACTTGGGGGTGGGGAGGCCCCCAGCCCTGCCTGGTCTGGGCGAGGTTGGAGGGGCAGAGGAGTCTGTTGCTCGAGATAAGGCCCCACCCTGCCTCCGCCCGCAGGACAAGGTCCTTGGCTGCCCAGGAACCCCCACTTGGGCAGCCCAGGCGGCTGGCCTCAGCCCAGGGGGCCTCTCTGCAGGCTGCCTGTGGAGGGCGGGGACCCTGCTGCAGCCAGGACATGCTCCGTCCGAGCCGGCAGCCCCTTTGCTGGCGCGCCGAGCGTGACCTGGTCCCATCCCCTGCCCTGCAGGTCTCGAGGAGCGGCCCAGCTCAGGCTCCTGGGTCGCCGGCGAGCAGAGCTCCTCTTTCGACCCTGGCCGGGTGAGGCGGGGCCCCGGGGCTGGGGATGTCCCAGGACACGGGGTGGTCAGCTGCCAGCCCCCTCACCCTCCACTGTCTCTCCAGACCTACAGCGAGGGCGCCCACTTCGCTGACTCCCCCGGCGGCCTCTCTTCGTCCACATTCCTGGGACCCACGCTGGGCGGTGAGTGAGGTCCCCCCATGACTCAGTGTCCCCGCCAGGCCCTGCTGTCCACACATCTACATGATGGGCGAGCCCACTGAGGCTGGGCAGGAAGTGGCCGTGGTGGGTCCCAGTAGTTGAGGGTAGCCTTGAGAGGCTGGGGTCTGTGGCTGGGTGACCTCGACCTTGGTGTGGGGCGGGGTTGTGTACTGGGGTCCCAGCACTTGCTGGGGGGTGTCAACATGTCCCCCCATGTGGCTGGCTGACAGGGTCACCCACACAGGGGGTTGGGGTGAGGCCCTGCACCTGCAGAGGGGTATCTTCTGGCTGCACCTTCTCACTCTGCCCCCCTTGCCTAGCACTTCCTGCCCAGAGTAGCAAGGCTGAATGGCCAGTTCCCACGCAGGTGTGGCCAGGCCTGCTCGGCAGTGGCTGGTGCCCAGTTGTGCCCCGGGGTGGAGCTGGCCGGGCTGTGCCTCCGGCCACCTCCTTCAGGGTCACCACAATGTGGAGATGAACCGAGTGCAGGCAGTACCGACGTGCGCTTCCTGGGCCTGGCTCAAGTTGTTCTGGTGGAATTGAGGAAATAGGGAAGTGGAGGGTTCGCCAGGCCACACGGCTCCCGTCAGCTCCTAGCTCAGGCTCCGAGTGGAGCCAGGGGGCCCCAACTCTCATCGCGTGGCTGGTGCTCTGTGCCTGTCATGGTGACCCCTTTGTCCAGCAGGCAAGGGTGGCGAGCGGGGTGCCTACCCGTCTTTCGGGAGAGACGTGACTGTCGGCAGCCTGGCTCAGGTGAGGCACCCTGGAGTCTGTCTCGTGCCTGCCCCTGTGGGCCTGGAGTCATGGCCTGTCCCTCTGCCTGCCGCTCAAGCTGTCCCCCACTGCCCATCTCCCACCCCCAGACCAGCTTCCTGTCCGGTGAGCTGGCCCTTGGCAGTCCCGGGCCACTGTCTCCCTCGGATGTCAAGGCTGGCGCCCAGTTCTACGCCTCCTACCCCAGCAACCCCCGGCGGAGAGCCGCAGATGGCAGCCTGGGTGAGTGGCCGGCAGGAAGGCTGTGCACGGGCAGCACTCAGAACTGTCCGATCCGGGCTCCCTGCCCACAGAGGCCGGGATTGGGACTGGCTGAAACCAGGGGCTCCATGTGGGGTCTCTGACACGGGTGGGCGGGGGCCTGCTGGCTCCCAGGGCATGTGTGTGAACGGAGCTGGGGGCAGGGGCCAGAGCCGGATCAACCTAGCCCTGTGGCTTGGGCCCAGGTGTCCTGTGAACTGTCCACTGTGGGTCTACCACATGAGGATGTGTGTGTGTGAGAGAGGGGCCTGTGAGCTGTCCACCATGGGTTGCCTGTGTCGTGCTATGAGCTACATCGGGTCTGCCCTTTGGGTGCCGGGTCCCTGTCCCTTGGACCTTTGGTGGATCTAGGGCTTGGGCCCCATGCAGGGGCCAGCGGGGCTGCCTAGCCATACTCACCTTCCTTCTGCAGATCCACAGCCCAAGAAAATCCGGAAGGTTCCGCCTGGTCTTCCCTCCTCCGTGAGTAGCGGACATCTGGGTCCCCCCAGGCTGTGGGCGAGGGCTTTAGCACTTGAGGGTTGCCAGGCCGTGTGTACTGTTGAGGTCTGGGGCCCACAGGGGTATCCGCCAGGGAGGGCTTGCACCCCAACCCATCCTACTCTCACTGGCAGGGTCTCCCTCCCACACCCCAGTCTCCCCTACTCCTGTCACATGGAGCTGGGAGGTTGGGTCAAGACACAGAAGCCTCCATCAGGATAAGATGGCCTGGGTTTTGGAGAGACCAGCTATTGAGATTCCCCCAGTCAGGTCCACCCACCACGGTGCTGTGTGGGGCTTCATCTGCCCCGACCTGGGCGCTGAGGGGTTGCTGGTCTTGGAACCCCTCCTCTGGGCCAGCAACTTCTTTGGCTTGCTGGCCCTGAAACCTAGGGTCTCCATGAGCAGGGCAAGGCTAGGTTAGGCTGGGCAGGGCAGGGCCCGAGGTCCCCCTGGGGGAACAGGCAGGGCCTGAGGTCCCCCTGGGGGAACAGGCAGGGCCAGGCTGGGTAGGAAGAGCCCCTGGCCCATGAGGGAATGCAGGCAGGGCTGCCCAGGGTTTTGGTAGAGGAGCCATGCACCCCTTGCAGGGGATGTCTTCAGAGTGCTAAAGCTTGGGCTGGAGGGTGGGGGCTGCCCTGAGCATGCCTTCCCCTCCCCCAGGTGTACCCCCCCAGCTCTGGTGATGACTATGGCAGGGATGCCTCCGCCTATCCAGCTGCCAAGACCCCCAGCAGCGCCTACCCTGCCCCCTTCTTCGTGGCAGGTACATGGGCAGGGCAGGGTGGTGCTGGGAGTCCTTGGCTGCCCATGCCTCACCCTGTTCTCCCTGCAGACAGCAGCCTGCACCCCTCCTCTGAGCTCTGGAGCCCCTCAGCCCCAGCGGGCTTCGGGCCCATGCTGGGCGGGGCCTCGTCCCCCCTGCCCCTCCCGGCGGGTAGTGGTGGCACCTTTGGTGGCCTGCAGCAGCAGGAGCGCATGGTAGGCCAGGTCAGGCCGGGGACTGGGGGAGGGGTGCTAGGGATAGCTCCCATCTGAACTTGTCCATCCCCCCTCCAGGGTTACCAGCTGCACGGAGCTGAGGTAGACGGCGGGATCCCGCTCCCAGCAGCACCCACCTTCCCCGGGGCACCCCCAGCCACCTACGGCAGCGTTGCCAGTCACACGCCCCCGGTCAGCACGGCCGACAGCCTCATGGGTACAGCCACCCCTGCCAGGGGCATCTCGCTGGGCTCCAGGGTGGTGGCGCCCCTGGCCTTGCACAGCTGGGAAACTGAGGCTCCGAGAGGGGACCTGGCTCAGGTCTGACCCTGGGCCCGGCCAAGGGTGTCCAACCTCAGCTGGGGCCTCCTCCTTGCAGGCTCCCGAGGGACCACGGCCAGCAGCTCCGGGGATGCCCTCGGGAAGGCGCTGGCATCGGTGAGGCCAGGGACTGGGCCGGGTCGGGCCATGACTGGGTCCTGTGCGGCCAGTCCTGACCTGCCGTCTGCCCCCTGCCCGTCCTTCACAGATCTACTCCCCGGACCATGGGAACAGTAACTTCTCCAGCCCCTCCCCGCCTGTGGGCTCGCCGCAGGGCCTGGCAGGTCTGTGCACTGTACCCTAGGCCGTGCTGGGGGGGGTCCTCTCGATGAGGCACCCCGGCCCAGTCGCCGTGTAACCCAAGGCTGGGGGCCCGGGACTTGTACGGGGCGCATGCCCACGTCGTGGCAGCTGCACGGCCCCCACCCTGGTGAGGATCCCAGGGTTCTGGAAAGTCCACTTCCTCACTTGGTCCCACTCTCCCTCCTCGCCACGCAGGGACGCCGCAGTGGCCTGCAGCAGGAACCGCTGGTGCCTTATCTCCCACCTACGATGGGGGCCTGCATGGCCTGGTGAGCTGCATGCCCACCCCACGCAGCTGTGGGAGGGGTGTGGGCCCGCCTGTGCGAGCACCTCACTACTACTGCCCCCGCCCCCGCAGCAGAACAAGGTGGAAGACCACTTGGACGAGGCCATTCATGTGCTGCGCAGCCATGCCGTGGGCACGGCCAGCGATGGGCACGGGCTGATGCCCAGCCACGGAGCGCTGGCCCCTGGCTTCGCGGGCCTGGTGAGCATGGGTCACGGGTTGGGGAGTGGGATGAGGAGTGGTGGGGCTCTGTGCCACCCTGATGTGCCCACTGTCCGTCAGGTGGGAGGCGGCCACTCTGAGGACGGCCTCGCGGGCAGTGCCAGCCTCCTGCACGGGCACGCGTCCCTGCCCAGCCAGCCCAGCGCGCTCCCCGACACCTACAGTGGTGAGTCAATGATTGCGGGGCCAGGCTGGGCACTGTGGGGAGGATCCCTCTGAGCCCCGTCATACGGGATGGCCACGTGGCTGATGCCCAGGCCACCAGCCTCCCGGGGAGCCCTGTCTCCCTGTCTGTGAGGTGCTGGCCTCTTACTGTGTGCGCTGGCTGCCCTGACCTGAGCCTTGTGCCTCCTGCCCGTGTGCCCCAAGCAGGGAGAGCTTGTCCCAGCACTCCCACGGCCTGCTGTAGGAATTGGGGGTGTGGACGGTCACCCCAGGATCCTGCAGGAGCCGCCGGCCTGGTGGAGAGGCACACGCACAGGGTGCTGTCAGGAATTGGGGTGTGGACGGTCACCCCAGGATCCTGCAGGAGCCGCCGGCCTGGTGGAGAGGCACACGCACAGGGTGCTGTCAGGAATTGGGGTGTGGACAGTCACCCCAGGATCCTGCAGGAGCCGCCGGCCTGGTGGAGAGGCACACGCACAGGGTGCTGTCAGGAACTGGGGGTGTGGAAGGTCCCCCCAGGAGCCTACAGGCGGGTTCCTGGGTCGCGGGCGCCCCCTGCTGGCTCCCTGGGATCCCTGGTCGTGAGGGCTGCGGCCTTCCCGGTTCCCTTTGTTTTTTCTGAGGAGAAACGGCTTTGCTGTGACACCCCAGTGTCCAGAGCCTGGAGCTGGGGACTGCGGCCATGCTCCCAGGGCGCTTCCTCAGGGGGCTCCCCCATTTCCCACATCCGTCTCGCTGTCTTAAAAAGATTGCATATTTATGTATTTGAAAGAGTGAGAGGGAGGGGAGGGACAGAGAGGGACAGAGCTAGCAGCCTCTGGTTCAGTTCCCAGTGGACGCAGCGGCCTGGGGGATGGCTGCCCAGGCGGCCCCGGGGTGTGCTCTGTGCCAGGCTTCCCCGGGAGTGTCCCTGGAGCGACCACCGGTGTGGGGGCCCTTGCAGGACACGGGCGAGTGGGCGGCGTGGCGGGCGGCGGCGAGATCAAGCGGGAGGCCGAAGAGGACGAGGAGAACGCGTCGGTGGCCGGCCACTCGGAGGAGGAGCGCAAGGAGCTGCAGGCGCGCGCCCGCAGCAGGTGCCAGCCCCGCCCCTGCCCGCCGCCCACCCTGCGCGCCCCCCCGCGCGCCCCGTGCCCGCCTCACCGCCTCCCTCCGGCCCCGGCCCTCCCCGTAGCCCAGGCGAGGAGGAGGACGACGACCTTCTGCCCCCAGAGCAGAAGGCCGAGCGGGAGAAGGAGCGCCGCGTGGCCAATAACGCGCGGGAGCGTCTCCGCGTGCGCGACATCAATGAGGCTTTTAAGGAGCTGGGGCGCATGTGCCAGCTGCACCTGAGCAGCGAGAAGCCCCAGACCAAACTGCTGATCCTGCACCAGGCCGTGGCCGTCATCCTGGACCTGGAGCAGCAGGTGCGAGGTCAGTGGGGCGCCGGCCCGCAGCCCGCAGCGCCGCTCCGCTCGCGCCCCTCTGGGCGCTCCCCGCAGGCTTGGGGGCCCCATCCCAGAGGGGCCTCGGCTCCCCTCCCTGCTGGCAGTCGCTTCTCTAACCTCCCTGTCTCCGCTGTCCCGTGTGGCCTGTTAATCCTCCTCCTGCCGCCCTGTGGCTGCTGGGCTGCAGCCGGGTCGCCCCTCCGCTGTCCCCCGGGCTCCTGGCATGGGAGGGACTGGGCCTGCTCGCCGCTGCCTCCTCTGCTCTGCTTCCTTGCCCCCGCGCCCAACCTCCTCGCCTCTGCTCCCCACCGGCGGCCCGCCCCACCTCGCACTTGCTGTCCACGCACCAGGATCGGCTCAGGCCAGGGCTGCCCCCGCTGGCGCCCTGGCGACTTGGGGCATCGGGTCCCATGCCAGTTTGGTCTGCGCGCTTGGCCCAGGCTCTGGCCGCTCAGGCCTGGGGGGGGGGACAGAAAATGAGGCAGGCAGGGGTGAGGGGCGCAGGGTAGGTGCAGGCCTTGGAGGGGTCCTTCCCGCTGGGAGCCCCGAGAGCCGCCGCCCCAGCCAGAAGGGTCTTGGATGGCCCAGGGCAGGTGCCGCCCCCCAGGTGGCCAGGACCCAACAGCGCCTCTCCCGCAGCGCCCCTGCTCTGAGCCGGAAGGTCGTCGGGGTGGGGTGGGGTGTGAGAGCAGTGAGGCTCCCCAGCCCCGGTCCCGCGCTGGCCAGCGACCACCAGCTCCCGTGCCCCGTGTCCCCCATGGTCACGGCCTCTTCTAAGGGCATGCACCCTTCACGCACGCGCACGGCCGCGGGTGTCCGGCACGCCCACGTCGTCCCCCCGACTAACTGAGGCCTGCGCTGTGACCCAGCAGTGCGGACGAGGTGCTGTCCCTGGAAGAGAAAGACCTGAGGGACCGGGAGAGGCGCATGGCTAATAACGCGCGGGAACGGGTGCGTGTGCGCGACATTAACGAGGCCTTCCGGGAGCTGGGGCGCATGTGCCAGCTGCACCTCAAGTCGGACAAGGCGCAGACCAAACTGCTGATCCTGCAGCAGGCCGTGCAGGTCATCCTGGGCCTGGAGCAGCAGGTGCGAGGTAGGCCCCGGCCCCGGCCCGGCGGCCCCCTAGGCCGCCTCTGCAGGCGCAGGCCCCCTTCCCGCACCCCGAGGGAGCCCGCCCCCCACAGTGCTCTCCCCCCCCTCCCCAGAGCGGAACCTGAACCCCAAAGCAGCGTGCCTGAAGCGGCGAGAGGAGGAGAAGGTGTCCGCCGTGGTCGCAGACGCCGCCGCCATGGTGCACCCGGCCGCCCATCCGGGCCTGAGCGAGGCCCACCATCCCGCCGGGCACCTGTGAAGGACCGAGCGGGTCGGGGTGCCGCGGCCCGGCCCCCCACGCCCGGAGCTGCAGCCGCGAACAAGATGCCTTACGGCGCCGCGGAGAGGCCGTGCCGCGGGGCCGCCAGCGCCTGTGCCTATCATAGTTTTTTTTTTTTTTTAAGGAAAATAAAGAAACTTAGTTATGATTTTTTTTTTTTTAATGTAGAAGGGACCTTGCAAGGAGGTGGCCTCCGTCGCCATCTCGCTTCTGTCGGTCCGTTTCCAAGCAACAAAGCGATTTTGTATAAAAGCTGTGTCCGTGTCTTGCTTTCCACTGCTGGCCCTAGCCCAGGTTTGGGGGTCCTATGATCATGCGTATGGGGTGTCTGCCAGGTTGCAGGTGCCCATGGCTCAGCAGGAGCTCAGCTCGGCTCCCTGGTCACCACCAGGGCGATGGGGGCTGGACGCGCACCAGGACCGGGTAGCTCAGCCTGTAGGAGCTCAGCTCGGCTCCCTGGTCACCAGGGCGATGGGGGCTGGATGCCCACCAGGGCCAGGTATCCCAGCCTGCAGGAGCACAGCAGCCCCGGCCCGCTGACTGCGGGGCGCGCGCGCTCGCCACGCCCCCGTCGCCATGGTCTCCGCCCTCGAGCCTCCCCGGAAGTCGCGTGGAGGAACCGTGGCCCGCGCGTGCGTCCTGTGGTCGCACCGCCCGGCGGGGTGACCCTGAGGGTGTAGACCCGGCCGCGATGCTGACCCGCTTCCTGGGCCCACGCTACGTGCAGCTGGCCAAGAACTGGTGAGGAGCGGAAGCGCGCGCGCGTGGGGAGACCACCGGACGGGACTTGGGCTCCCCGACAGTGTCCTGCAGTGGCGCCCACGCGGACGGCACCGCCGACCCCCGGCCCGGTCCCCACGCTTGGCGCAGGCCTGGGACCCATCCCGCTGACTCCGGTTTGGGGGTGCCTGGCGCCTGGGCAGCGGTGACTGCGCAGGCGGGCCCCTCTGTGCCCATCAGAGCAGTGAACGCAGCCTGGGGGTGTGCGGGTCAGACGCGCCCTGTTGGGGAGCCTGGCGGCCGGGCCAGCAGGTGCAGCACCCCACGATTTTACATCTGTCCGGACTCTGCTTTGGGGGGACGGGTCTCCGGTCCACTGGTGGACTCCCCAAGACCTCCCGCGTGGGTGCCGCTCCCCCAGGGCTGGTGCCGGGCCCTCACCCCCGCTGTGCGTCCCCGCACACCCCGCCAGCGCTCAGGGGTCCCCAGGGCCCAGCATCTGTCCTGCACTCCAGTGACCCTGCTCCCCGCCGGCCCCGTGGGATGCGGCTGATTTGGCCACTACCAGGCAGGGACACGTTTCTGGTTTCCAGTGTCCCTGCCGGCCAGGTGGACCTGACCACGTTGTGTTGTCCACTTGGCACAGGATCCCCACTGCCGGCATGTGGGGTGCCGTGGGCGGCGTGGGGCTGGTGTGGGCCACTGACTGGCGGCTGATCCTTGACTGGGTGCCCTACATCAACGGCAAGTTCAAGAAGGACGAGTGACCCCGGTGAGTGTGGGCAGTGAGGGGTCATGTCCTCCACAGCCGGGACGTGAACCGGAGCCCACATGGGATTGTAGTGGGTTAATCTGCTGTGCCAGGGCACGCTGGGACCCTTCGGGTCTGGGTTTTGGGGTCTGTCTCTCTCTTGCACCCAGGCCCAGCCCAGCTCTCATGCTCCTGTTTGCTGCTGTCTCCCCAGGTGCCCCCTGCCAGCCTGCTGTGTCCAGGAGTGACCTCAGCCCTGGAAGACTGGAGGAGGACGGGGCAGAGGCCCACGCTGAATGGCGGCTGCTATTAAACTGGCTGACCCAGCCCTGTCGTGTGTGCCTGTCGTCTCGCGGGCAGGGCAGGGGGGACCCCGAGGGAAGCCCTTCCTGTAGGACCAAGTCCTGCGCGGTTCCTGCACCTGTCAGTAAAGCCAAGTGTGGGGCGGGAACCTGGGGCGCAGCGCCCTGGCCCTAATCAGAGAGAGAGAGGGACGGTCTGTGTGGGGGGCTCCCACGCGGGTGCAGGGACCTCACAGCATGGCACCTGGGCGGGCACGGGCCAGGACCCCGAGGTGGGTGCTGCTGAGCTGTGCAAGGCACAGCTGACCTGAGAGGGCATGGCCCGGCCCTCCTCGTCCTGGAGGCCGCCTGCTCGCCGCACCAGCCAGCCCCGCCGCCCGTGCACGCCGACGGAGGGCTCCGAGCGCCGGACAGGGCCCCGGAGGCGTCGGCGGGACCGACCGGGGCGGGCGTGGAAACCGGGAGGGCTCTGCAGGACGCACCGCGTGGGAGGCCGAGTGCGCAGGCGTCCTGGGCGGGCGGGCGGGGCCTGCAGGCGCAGGGCGGAGCTTAGAGCGGCGGCTGCGCGACCCGAAATCCAGGGCGGAGCCAAGGCTAGCCGCGAGGGGCGGAGCCTATGCCGCGCCTGCGCAACTCTGAATCCAGGCCGGTGGGCGTGGCCTGGGCTGGTCGTGCAGACAGGGGCGGGGCTAGGTGCAGCCGGCGCTGGCCTGGAGGGGCGGGGTCTAGGGGCGGGGCGGGGCCCGCCGTACAGGCCGCGGGCCTGGCGGGGGAGTGGCCTGTGGCGCGGGGGCGGGGCCGCGCCGCGCCTGCGCAGTTCGGCGCCCCGCGCGGCCGGCCGGGTGGGCGGAGCGGCCCCCCGAGCGGGGCTGGCGCGTGCGGGGAGGGGGCCGGCAGGGCGGCAGAGCCGGCGCGCGCGCCCGGCTGGGGGCGGAGGGCGGGCGCCCGAGGGCCGGAACAGCCGCGGCTCGGGCGGCGGGCGGCGAGCGAAGCGACTCGAAGCGTCCGGAGGCGGCGAGCGGGGGGTCGGCGCGGCGGCGTTGGCCGGAGGAGCCGGGCGCGATGGAGCGGAAGAGGTGGGAGTGCCCGGCGCTCCCGCAGGGCTGGGAGAGGGAAGAAGTGCCCAGAAGGTCGGGGCTGTCGGCCGGCCACAGGGATGTCTTTTACTATAGGTGAATGCGCGCGCCCCACCCCCACAACGGGCGCCTCCCGGCGGCCCCCTCGCGCCGAGCCCCGAGCCTGCGTCGTGCGTGCGTGCTGCGTGCTCGTGCGCGCCCCACGTGGTGCCGGCGCCGCGCCTGCCACGCGCGCGCGCGCGCGCGCGGCTTTTGTGGCCCCGGGGACGGGTTGTGGGGTGCACGGGGGTGTGGGGGGGTCCCCGGGAGACGCACGCGAGGGGCGCCCGGACGCCGCCGGGAGGCCAGGGTGGCGTGGGGGGGAGCTGGGCCTGCCCTGTAGTATCCCTCGAGCGCGCGTGCGCGCCAGCGAGGTGCAGGGGTGGTGGGGGGCACGGCCGCGGGCGGGGGCGTCCCTGGAAATGCGGGGTTCCGCTTTCTCAGCGTCTTCCCCAAGCGCTTGTTTTTTGGATTCCCTGAGGCGCGGCTGCTTGGAGAACTGCGCCCCTGACGTGGAAGGGATGAGCATGCCCCCCTGCACGCGTGCACACACACACACACACACGTGGGGCTGCACTGGGGTCCCTGCCCGAAGCCTGCCCATCAAGCCGTCGGCCACTGACCCCGTGTCTGTCCCTGCCTGTTCTCTTGTGGACGGCTTGGCTGTGCCCCGCGCACCCTTCTCCCTGCGCGTGTGAGGGTCCCCTCTCGGCACCCGCGCGTGGTGGTGTGGGGTTACGCGTGCTTTGCAGGAACTAGAGTCACACCCCATCCTCGGGGTGCTCTAGGAGCCCCTAGTCTGCGGAGGGGCGGGGTGCCTGTGGTTCTTAGGGGACCCCCCAGCCGCCTGGGCTGAGGAGCTGTGTTCTGGGACGCGTGTGCGCCCCTCCCCAGCCTCCCGCTCTCCGGGTTCTGTCTCACCCGCAAGCCACCTGCTTCCTCCCTTCACGCGCGCCACGTGTCATGTCTCCTTTGTCTGACACACCTGCTGGCCCATGAGAGTGACAGCTGTCTGTCTGCAGGCCCGGAGGGGCAGGGCTCTGTGAGGGGTGGCCGTGTGGCGCAGCGCACCCCTGCACTGTACATCTCCCGGGACCCCGGGAGAGCAGGACAGAGCCCACCCCTGTGGGGGCCGTGCGCACCCCTGCACTGTGCATCCCCGGGACCCCGGGAGAGCAGGGCAGAGCGCAGAGCCCATCCCGTGGGGGCCGTGAGCACCCCCTGCACTGTGCATCCCCGGGACCCCGGGAGAGCGGGGCAGAGCGCAGAGCCCATCCCGTGGGGGCCGTGCGCACCCCCTGCACTGTGCATCCACGGGACCCCGGGAGAGCAGGGCAGAGCGCAGAGAGCACTCACTGTGGGGCCCATGCGGACCCCGGGGAGCTGGCTGGGGTGCCTACGGCCCCTTTCCAAGTCCAGTCCTCCTCCCCCCCCAGTCCCCAGTGCCAGCCAGCCGCAGGCCCCCTTTTGCACCTGTGGTCTCAACACTTGTTTTTCTGCTCAGTGAAACACTAGGGGCGTCTTCTTAATGTAGTACAGATCTGCGTGATGTTGTCTTCCCCATGCGGCGACCTCCACGCTGTCCAGATGCTCCAGAACATTGTAGCCCAGCGGGAAAGCCAGAATCCCACTCTCCTTGCCCCCGTCCGGAAAGGCGCTGTGGGTCCCCTGTACAATGTCCAGCCCTGGCCCTCCCTCACCCCTCCCCTCCCTGCCAATTAGAATGGCCAAAGTGGGGGCGCGTTTTTTTTTTTTTTTTTTTTTTTTTTGGCGCCTATTTCAAAGATTTCCATCTTCTTGGTTACTTCGCCCAAGTGACCACAACAGTCCGGAGCCCAGAACAAGTCTGCAGCGCCGGCCACCTCAGGGCCTTGGATCCCACCTCACCCAGGGTGTGTCCCTTGCGGGCGCCGTCCCTCCATACCCCGCACAGGTCCAGGGATCCCAGGCAAACGGCCATAGCCAACCTGTTTGTGCGGACACGGGTTTTGAAAGGCCTCGGTTCAGAAAGTTGTGAGACGTCTTCTATCTTCTGGTTCACTCCCCGCAATTGGCCGCAGCACATGAGGCTGGGGTGTCTCCTTGTGGATGCGGGGGGGCCCCCAGTTCCCCTGCTGCTTTCCCAGGTGCATCAGCAGGAAGGTGGCTGGGAAGTGGAGCCGGGATGTGATCTCGGGAACCCCCTCCCGACAGTGGGGGTGCGCAGGCAGAGGCTTAATATGCGACTGCACAGCGCCGGCCCCAGTGTCCGGGCTTACCGAGCCGCGGGGAGACCCCTCGGGGTGGGGTGCACGCACTGGAGCAGCCGCCGACCCCCAAACTGTGCCCGCAGCCCCAGCGGAAAGAAGTTTCGCAGCAAGCCGCAGCTGGCGCGTTACCTGGGCGGCTCCGTGGACCTCAGCACGTTCGACTTCCGCACTGGCAAGATGCTCCTCAGCAAGGTGACCAAGAGCCGCCAGCGCGTGCGCTACGACTCGGCCAACCAGGTCAAGGTGGGCGCATGCCACGTCACTGCGGGGCGGAGCAGGGTGGAGCAGGGCGGGGCTGCGCACCACTTGCCAGATGGGGCGCTGGGACTCGCATGGCGCGGAGGGGGCGCGTGCGGGGCCTGTCCCGGGAGTGCCCCCTGCCCGCCACGCTGGCCTGCAGGAACGCGAGGCGTGCCAGGCAGCCCGTGAGGCAAGGGACGCCCGGCAGCCGCGGAGAGGCCCCGGCCCAGGTGCGCCGCGCGCCCCTTGCACCCCTCGCGTCCCTCGCGCCGCGCTGCAGCTCCTCGTCTCCACAGGGTAAGCCTGACCTGAACACGGCGTTGCCTGTGCGGCAGACAGCGTCTATCTTCAAGCAGCCGGTGACCAAAATCACCAACCACCCGAGCAACAAGGTCAAGAGCGACCCGCAGAAGGCCGTGGAACAGCCGCGCCAAGTGAGCCGGGCTGGGGGCGCACGGGGAGGCCGAGCAGGGCCAGGGGCCGGGCGCATGCTGCGCTCACGCCGGCCCTGTGTGCCCCTTCCCGGCAGCTCTTCTGGGAGAAGAAGTTGAGCGGCCTGAACGCCTTCGACATCGCGGAGGAGCTGGTGAAGACCATGGACTTGCCCAAGGGCTTGCAGGGTAAGGCTGGGGGACCTGCCCTTGGCCGGGGGTGGGGCCTGCGCGCGGGCTGGGCGTGCCACGTGCCTGTACCCCGCAGGGGTGGGGCCCGGCTGCACGGACGAGACGCTGCTGTCGGCCATCGCCAGCGCCCTGCACACCAGCACCCTGCCTGTCACCGGGCAGCTCTCGGCCGCCGTGGAGAAGAATCCCGGCGTGTGGCTCAACACCACGCAGCCTCTGTGCAAGGCCTTCATGGTGACGGATGAGGACATCCGGTAGAGTGGGGGCGCCGCTGGGCAGGGCCAGGCACCTGGGGGCGGGTCCCGGCTTGCAAGGGGTGCGACCCCCGCAGTGGTTGCTGGGGAGCAAGGGGCGCTGATGCTGGTAAAGGGCAGGCCCGAACACAGTCGCTAGCTACTACGTTGTGAGCTGCCCGTCCTGCTGTGGGAGGGACCCCCTCCCAGGTGGGCGGAGGCTGGGGTCCCCGAGGGGCTCGTGGAGCGTGGAGTGGGGCCCTCATGACCACCCTCCCCCACCCCCCCACCCCACGTCCACAGGAAGCAGGAAGAACTGGTGCAGCAGGTGCGGAAGCGGCTGGAGGAGGCGCTCATGGCTGACATGCTGGCCCACGTGGAGGAGCTGGCCCGCGACGGGGAGGCCCCGCTGGACAAGGCCTGCGGCGACGAGGATGAGGAGGAGGACGACGATGACGAGCCGGAGCCAGACCGGGAGATGGAGCCCGTGTAGGCAGGTGCGGGCGAGCTGGCGTGGCGGGGCTGCCGGTCACTCACGGCCCGTCCCTCTGCAGACCCTGGCCCCGTGCCCAGCTTGCCCCGCAGTGGTCCCGCAGGCCAGACCCTGCCCTGCAGCTCCTGAGAAGACTCACTTCCTGGAGGTGCTGGTGGCCCCGCGTCCTGCCTGACCGGGGCCCAACCAAGGACTGGCCCAGCCAGCGCCCCCACCCCAGGCCAGCCAGTTGTCTCTGGGTCAGGCTGTGTCTGTGCAGAACCCTGCCTGGAACTGTCCTGGGCCTGCCCTCCAGGAAGGGCTGGCCCCAAAGGCCCAGCGAGTGGGCCCCGGGGCTGTTGCCCTCAATAAACAATGTCACGGCTGACGCAGGCCGGATGACGCGTGACTGGGCTGTGTCTCCATGTCCGCTCTTGGGGGCTGTGAGCCCCAGCGGCGGGCATTTCCTTGGCACTCCCTGGCCAGTAGCCAGTGTTCACCTGCGGTCAGGACAGGCCCATGGTCCAGGGTGGGTGGGGGTGATGGTGAGAGTGACTCCAGCCCCTGTGACCGGGAGGACCCCACAGGCTCACCCACCTGTATCTGGGGGGGCTCCAGAGGCCAGCCGCCGGAACAGCAAGGGGCGAACTGGAGCCAGGATGGCTGGGTCAGGGCCCGTGGGCCGCACTGAGTAAAGGTCCCGGCTGGCATGTGCCGCCCAGGTTCACACTGCTCTGGCCTTGGGCCAGGAGGTTGTCCCGAGTGGGATGGGTGGGGATGAGGCTCTGGGCCCTACACATCAGGGTGCACCATCAGGTGGGGGCACAGTTGTGCCAAGGTCACAGGTCAGGGGCGCCCCATCACTCCAGGAGGGCAGGGCCTGCCTTCTGCTCCAGCCACCACCGTGGCTTGGGTCCATGTCCGCTGGACATGGCCTTCCTGTCTCCCGGCCTGGGTACCTCCTCCGGGGGGTCCTGCGGCCTGGTCCCATCTGTGGGAGGCACTCCCCTGCAGCCCTAACTGCTGCCCTGAGGTGGCAGTGACAGGTCACACTGGCCCCATCCCCTGTAGGCCTTCAGTGTCCTGCCTCCAGGCTGGGCTGGCCCTAGGTCATCAGGAACTGCTAACCCGCCCCTCTGCCCCGTCCCCCAGCTTGACAGGAGTGAGGCTTGGCAGTGCCTGGGCTCATCCACAGGTGGTGGTGGCCGCCAGGGACGAGACCAGTGAGACAGGGACACTGACCACAGGGTGTGGGAGGATTTATTGAGGAGTAGAGCTGGCTCCCCTGAAGCCAGGACCAGGAGCTCCTTTGGGATGCCCCGAATGGGACCCCCAAGGACCGTGACCATGTCCACTGCACCATGCTGTCCCCCGGCTGGGAGCTGACCTGGACAGAGCAGCCGGCAGGGGGTGTGAGCACCCACGCTGCCATCTACCCGGTGACCCCAGGAACAGGAGGCTCAGGGAGCCTGCAGGTCCAAGGTCAGGGGCTTCCATGCGGGTTTAGTGGCACCCCACAGAGGCGCTGGCTGCTCTGCTTCCATTCGGTTGCCTGCATGTGGAGGACACCTTAGCTCCTGCTGGCCACTTGGGGAGTGAACCAGCAGACAGAAGATCTGTCTCCCCTTCTGTCTGTAAATCCGCCTTTCAATAAAAATAAATTTTTAACCAAAAAAAAATCCCCTCACACTGAGACTCCTGTAGGTGCTGACCCCGCAGCTAGCCAGGTCGGGTCGCTGCAGACACGGATGCCAAGTCAGGGCCCGTGATGCGGCGGTGGGGTGGGTGGGGGAACCCGCACACGGCACCGAGCCACCTGCCCGATGGGGTTCGTGTGCGCGCCGCAAGCCTTGAGGGCCCTGGGCGGTTGGGGGGCGAGCAGGGTGTCCAGGAGGCCGCGCCGGGACAAGGGCCCCGTCAGGCTGGCCACGGCTCAGCAGGTCCCTGGGGGACTCCGGCCATCGGAGGAGGGCGGGGTGCCATGGTGCTCCACAGCTCGGGCAGCGGGGCGCGCGTCCATCACCCCGAACCTGAAGAGGGGGACCTGCCTGTGGGGCTTGGGGACCTGCCTGTGGGGCTTGGGGAGCGGGGCGCGCGCCGAGGGGACGCGGCCAGGGCGCCCGGCACCCACCTGCCGCCGCACCCCGCACGTGCGGGCGCGCGGGGGTCCCCGCCCGAGCGCCACGTGACGCGCGCCCCGCCCCGGCCTCCGCCCCGCGCGCCTGCGCCCTGGCGCCCGCCCATTGTTGGCCGCGGCGTGACGTCCCGGGGCGGGGCGGGCCGGGCCGGCGGGGGCGGCGGGCGGGAGCCGAGGAGCGTCCGCGCCTCCTCCTCCGCCGCCGCCGCCGCCTCCGCCGCCGCCGCCGCCGCCGCCTCGGCCGCCAGGAGCCGCCGCAGCCGCGCGAGCAGCAGCCAGAGTCGCCGCCCCGGCCCGGCCCCCGGGCCCGGCCCCGAGCAGCCCCCGCGCCGCCGCCGCCGCCGCCCCGCGCCTGCCCGCCCCGCCGCTGGATGCCGGCGGCCGGCGGCCGAGCTCGCACAGGCGGAGGGCGGCACGGGCGGCGGCGGCGGCGGCGGCGCGGGCGGCCGGCGGCACAGCGGCGGGAGCGCGGGCCCGAGCGCTAGGCGCCGGCCATGCCCGGCCCCGGCGGCCTCCCCGACGGCGGCGGCGGCGGCGGCGGGGGTGCGGGAGCGTCGGGGACGGCGGCCGTCGGGGACCCCGGCCCGGACCCCGCACCCGCACCCGCGCCCGAGCCCGACGACGCGGCCGCCGCGCTCCGCCTCGCGCTGGACCAGCTGTCGGCGCTGGGGCTGGGGGCCGCGGGCAGCGCGGACGAGGAGAGCGCACCGGTTGGCGAGGATGAAGCGGTGGCGGGGTCGGAGCCTGCGCCCCCCGACGGGCCGGAGCCAGGCGTCCCTGCAGCGGGGGCTGTAGCCGAGGTCCCTGCCGTGCCGCCCGAGCCCGACGTGAGCCCCTCGCCGCCGCCGCCGCCGCCGCCCCCCAGGCCATCGCCGCCCGACGTGTTCGCCGGCTTCGCGCCCCACCCCGCGGCGCTGGGCCCCCCGACGCTTCTGGCGGACCAGATGTGCGTGATCGGCAGCCGCAAGAAGAGCGTGAACATGACCGAGTGCGTGCCGGTGCCCAGCTCGGAGCATGTCGCGGAGATCGTGGGGCGCCAGGGTGAGTGAGTGGCCGCCGTCGGGTGGGGGTTCCTGGCCGGCCTGACCCTCGCGCACGCGCGCACGCCGCGCTCCATACCCCGGGCGGCCACTCCGCACCTTTGTCCTGCCGCTGGCCGCGCGAGAAAGTTGGGTGCAGCCCGTGCTCCACCCCTCGCGCGCGGTCCCTGCGCCTGTGCCGGCAGTTTGCAGCCGCAAAGGCTGCGGCGTGCGCTGGCCAGAGGGGCGCGGGGCGCCGGTGGGCGCGGCAGTGCCACTGCTGGTGGCTCAGGGCGGGGCCCTGGTGTGCGGGTTAGCTCGGAGTGGACCCCCGTGGGGTGGGATGGGCACTGGGGGTACCCAGTACTGCACCCTGATTGGAGTGGGGGGCGGGACCGGGTGTGACTGGATCCCCGCCCCCCACCCCAGTCTGGCAGCCCCGCCTCGGGGGTTCTGGGGGTTCCTGAGAGGCGGCCTCGGAAGCCACTTCAGGGGTGACCCCCTGCAGCCTGCTGGGACCAGCTGGGGGGCTGCAGACCCCCGGGGCGCGGGGTCCCAGGGCTGCCCCATTGTTCTCTTTGTTCGAGCGCCAGGCTGAGACTTGGCGGGTGACATCAGGCCCGCTGGTGCTCATTGGCCGTCTGGCTGTGGGGCGGGCGGTGGCGGGCGGTGGGCAGTGCCCGGCCCAGCACACTCCCACCAACCACCCTGTAGCCATCAGTCCCCGCGGCCTCAACTTTCTCCTGCCTTCCCTGTGGCCCGCCCTGGCGCCTGCTGGATTCCCAGACTTGGGGTGGGGCCTGGGCGGGGCCACTGGTCAGGCTTGGCAGGGGCCGGGGAACAACGGGGCGGCGAGGTGTGAGTGGCCGTGTCACCTGTCGCTGTCCTGCAGGATGGCCGGCTGGGCCCCTGGGATGCTCTACCTCATCTCTTCCTAGCTGGGGTGGGTGGGGCCACGAGGCCTCCAGCGACATGTCTCCCTGGAGGCCAAGCACGGCTGGGCTGGTGTACCCCAAGCCGGGGTGGGATGGTGGTGGTTGCCAGGGCGGTGTCTGCAGGAATGGGACTGACTCTGTCTTGTCCTTTGACCCTGCCCCTGTGTCCTGCTGGGCTGAGTGTCCAAAAACCTGGGAGTCAGCTGGCGGTCTCAGTCGTGGGTGGCGGGGTCATGGCACAGCGTGTGACCCCAGATATGGTCACTGTGCACTCCTTGGATGCCAGACTGGGCTGTGGGTCCTCTAGGCCAGATGCGGCAGGAGGGGGAGGCTGGCAGCTTCCCGGGCCTCCCCAAGGGTGTCAGGTGTTGAGGAGGCAGGACGGGGACAGCAGCTAGAGCTGCAGGTGGAGGTTCAGGCCTGCCTGCTCCAGGGATGTGGGGAGCATGTGCACCTGCCCCGGTTCCTGCAGCCTGAGCGCTCACTTGCTGCGGTCAGATCCGGCTGCCTGAGTGCAACACCACCGAGTGCCAGGCCCATATGTGCTTCCAGGGCAGGAGCAGGGCCAGTGGTCACACTGGTGGGCCACCAAACCTGCCCAGTTACCATCCAGTACAAGGGACTGGGAGAGAGGGACAGAGTGGAAAAGGGAGTGCCATGCCTTGGGCCACAGGTGTGACTAGGGGTGTCCCAGCTGCACCCCTCCTCTGATCCCCAGGTAGCTGTCCCCCGCCTGCCCCACCCACCCCAGGCCTCTGTCCATCAGCTGGCCCTGGGCTGTGCAGAAGCTGGGGGTCAGAAGCTCCGCCCCTCAGCTGGGGCCCCGCCCCTCGCTGGCCCCACCCCTCTTCATCATTGGCCTTGGGAGAGTGGCCAGGGCCTCCACTGGGGCCACTGTTGGAAGCTCTGTCCATGGTGGCCTGAGCGCCTGCTCCCCAGCCATGCTGGGGCCGCCCCACTGTCACAGGGAGCACCCCCCCCCCCGCTCCATCTTTGACCCAATCTGTGGGCAGGCAGTGGGCACCTCTAGGTTCAACCTGTGAGAATGGAAGGCTTGTCCCCTGACCAGCCCCTTGTGCCTGTGTGACTCCTGAGCCTGCATGGCTGTGCACAGGGAGACCCCTCCAGGGGCCTTCACAGCATGGGAAAGGCAGTCTGGGTGGGCTTCCTGGAAGAAGCAACAGCAAGCAGAGGGAGGAATGGGGAACATTCCAAATGGGAAAGTGCTCACCCTGTGGCATTGTTCCCCTTGGGAGATGCATCCGTGTGCCTGCCTGGTTGTCCTGCCTTTCTGGAGGGCTGGGACTGTGCCAGCTGC